TTGAAGTACTTGTGCTTTATTTTAGATTATGAATGATGAAACTCTCCTGAGTGGAACTGCTCCAATTTAAATTCACAAACAACAACAACAATAATGTTGTCACAGTTATATAGTTTATCTCAGTGTGTCGATTACATTAGTTTTTCTTTTTAATTTATGTGTGTATAAACTGATGTATAAGGTCAAAGAAATCATGCAAAGCCCCTAATTACCACTAATGCCCATGATGAGTGTATGTACTTATGACCACAACTGTAAATACTCAACACACACATGCAACACAGTTTACAATAAAATGTGTTTGGAACAGTCGACTTTGAATGTACTATATGCTGATTTGTATGTGCTGACATTCAAGTTCTGAAGAAATAATTCTTTACAAACACTGTGCAAACTGATTGAAAACATCACCTCTTCCCATGTAAAGACTTCTAGCTCTCGGTTATGGGCAAAAGACCTTTAACTGACAAATAAAGGCTATCTCATCATCTCATCATCATCATCATCAGCTAAAAGTTCACTGAACTGTTTTGCTGCACTATCCTGCAATATCAAGCACTGCATACATGACATATTCTTAAAACATCAAGACCCCATTAACCCTTATGTTTGGATTTGGAAGCAGTTAAAGGGTTTTATTGTTAAACTGGAGACATTCAGCAGGGAGGTGTTTCCTCTTGTCTTAGATTAGATCCACTGATAGAGACATCTCTGTCTAAGCAACCTCTCTGACTGATGACAAGTGCTTTCATCTCACCCTAATCCATGCTGACTGCCTATCAGCCACCTTCTTAGTTTCTAAACAAAACAAAGTTTGTTCTTTTTTGTTAACTTATAACAATAGCAGAAATTCTGTGGAACAATATTCAAGGAATGTTACTCAAGGGATCTTACAATATCAATGATGTCAAATTGATGACTGAGTTTATAGAAGTATACTCACCTTATACATCGCATATCTTATAATTAGTAGTGTGTGTGTGTGTGTGTGTGTGTGTGTGTGTGTGTGTGTGTGTGTGTGTGTGTCCAATGTAGTCGATTATCTCGTTTTGGTGGAAAACCACATCGGTCCGACTAATAAGAGCGTCAATTTTGAATCAGATAAGCTAATACCGGAAGTGCATTGCCTTCAAAATATTAAAAAAAAATCATGTATAGCTATCATTAATAGAAGATAGTGGAGTTATGCTACACTTTCGTTGATGCCTATATCAAATGCTTATCAAGTTTATCAAATAAGTGCACCTTAAAAAAAGTATTTCCTTACCCAGCAGCACTCTTTCTCACTCTTTCACTGCTTAGAACTGAATTCCGTATTTTTATGGACCCAAGTTCTCATGTTAATTAATGTGTGCTATTTGTGCTCCTTTTGGATAAGCCAAAACATTATTTCATCACTTTCCTTCTTAATATTCTTTTTGGTGGTGAGATGAAATATTATAATGAAAATAAATGAGAAAATCTGGAGAATATAAGTTTTGCATCCTCTTTGACTCCTCCCCACAATCAAGCCCGACTATGTGTTTATTTTGAAAGGCACTGCAGGAAAACGCCGTTAGCGTGATCCAGGTGCAGTAACAGCAGGATCCGAGGACCATTGTCCGTCCCGGTCCCGGAGGGTGACAACACGGGACCTGTTTCAGGACAGGACTGAACGCAACTAACAAAGTACCGGGCTCCCGAGAACATTTCCTCCGAGAACAGGGAAAACTGGATATTTAAAGGGCAAAGAAACCGTCTAATATGTGTTTTTAAAGGACAGGTCCCGATCTGAAACATTCATATTCGACTGTTTACTTCTTGCAGCTGCTGCTGAAGGAATCGGTCAAGTGTGCTGAACTTTGGACTTTGCAACTTTGCTGCTCTGGTTAAATTCAGCTGCACTATTTTGGGCATTATTATCACGAGACGCGGTTATTAGCTCACCGGATCTGGACATGATCGCAGTAAAATTAATGTCAAGCTTTCCCGTGGTAAACGCAGTTTCCTGATAATGGTCATTGCTGGTTCTTTTTTTTGAAGTGCACGTTGGAGGTTACTAATTAAGGAGCGATTTTGATTTAAATTAAATGCGTGCGCTCTCGTGGGCAACTCCCGCTTCTGTTAAGAGCTCAGTCCGCGAAGGAAGGTGACACTCGCTGCCAGCGGAGTAAAAAAGAAAACGAGTGAAGCTGTGTGCACTCACGGGAACATTTTGCTTACTTTTATGTAGAAATTGTAACTGTATCACGGATGGAGCTGTTTGGCAGTTAGCAGATGCGCTCTTGAAGATTGCTGCAGACTGTAGGGACTAGTTTACTAAAGTTTGGGTTCTTTTTACGGCACAAACCAGCGAATAAAACACGACTGAGAGATCTTATTTAACCCTTGGGATCGAACTACAACGAAGGAGGTCCCCTCGAGCCCGCACCATGGCCACTAGCTCGCGGGACAGCTGCTTCTGGTTGCTCTGGAGACGCACCCTCCTCGCGCTTTGGCTGTGCGCTGTAGGAGCGCGTGCAGCGGAAGAGAGCGCGTTTAACACAGAGGTAAGACGGCACAGAAGATGTGAGAGGCTTCGGGCGCCTTTAGGCATCGCAAATGATCGAAATGCTTTATTTTAAGCAGTCAACACAAAGCAGGGATTCTCCACTGTTTTGCCATAAAGAATTCTGTTTGACTTGGGTGTATATTTCTATAATATCACGTTAATTAAATTAACCATAGTTGTGCTAAATGTTACTCATCTGTTAAACGGCGTACTGACTTGATAGTTATTCTTGGAAGCGCAATATGTCCATGCCTATCAAAAATAAGGCAGAGCACACGATCCATTTACCGCCTGTTACACGATGATGTTGGTTTTGCATGAGTATTTCGAGGGAACACCTTGAACATTTGACGGTCCATCCCCAGCAAATGTGCATCAGACACTTAATTTTGCTTTTCTCCTCTTTTTAATACTCGTATTTCTGCATTTTTCACAGTTTGAAAACTCTAGCACAGTCGGCGATAATTTGATACTGGAGTGATATATTGGAACACGATTTTGTTTCGCTTTCAAACAAAAACATATCGTTTATTTCTTTCATTTAATCTTAGTGTTTCCCCGCTGAGTTAACACAGATTTAGGCATGGTTTCCTTTTGTGCTCTTTTTTCTGTTTGCTTGGGTGCAGATGTGAGAGTCAAGAGTGCAACAAGCCACTATTATGTCTATTATCAGGTTTGGGAAAGTCACCTGCTTACATGTGCGTGTGTCACCTGTTGATTACAGGTTAATTACACACACTGTAGACTTTTGATAGCACATAAATGTTTCTGTACACATTTAAAACTTTTCCCTCCATTAAACACACATCACATATATCTGCATATATCTGTGTGCGAAGAGTGGGTGGCAACAACAACAACACTTGGCAATAGTAGTTCTATGTTGTAATTAAAACTTTCTCACAAATAATGTTTTTAGACATTTTGTGAAAAAAAAAAGTCCTAGTATTGGACCTCCTCCATGGTTCACCTGGAGTGCACACAGTGCTGGGCAGCTGATGGCTCGGAAATTATGCATCTTTTAGTAAATGTATATATCGTAGTTTTTCTGTTTTTGTTGTCCTCCTTTAATGAGCGCTATGCCTGAATGTAGGAGTGCTGCCAGTTAACTTAAGTAAATGGTTAATCTTAAGTACACACATGCAAAGATGCTTTGTGACTAATCATTACCTGAAGAGCCAAAGTTTCATAAACAGTTTTGGAAGCGAGCTCATTTCTCAAATATCCACTGGCTATTTCTTTTTTTGTAGGTTTCGCTTCCTTGTAACCAGTGAAACCAGTGGTACACATTTATTCCATTTATTCCAGGTGTGTCAGTAAATGCCAGAGTATCAAGTTGGAACTTGAACCACTGCTTCTTGTACCCTTACTTCACCAGTCCAGCAGTTCATCCATCACACTTGTTTGTTTTGAGAGACAAAAACAGATAAGAGTTGACAAAAAGTTGACCAGTGCTGGAGTTTCTGTTGTGTGTAGATTGACAAAGAGAAAGAGACAGACTGACAGACACTGAGACCTCCCAATCATTAGAGGTGAGCTTGCATTACCAAACTCACTGACCTTGGTGTGGGGGTGTTGCTGTCTGGTTGTCGGTCAGTTTACAACATTTCCTGATTAGCTGTTAACATAGTTGTGGTGAATGTGTGTGTGTGTCTGTGTGTGTGTGCAGGTGTGTGCTTATGCACAAAGGCAGACAAAGAGTTTCCACATTGTGTGGACTGATGAGAAATTCCTAGCTGCTTGTTGCTAAATGTGCATGTGTGTTTGTAACAATTGAACCCATGTTGCCAGTTTAACCTTAGGAGTGCTCCATACATGCAGAGGTTGGTGGTCGGTGCATCCTGGGAACTGTGCTTTTCTAATTTGTTGAGGCAAATACGGTTTGAGTATCTGGAGAAATGCTTGACCGCTTCCAACTTAGGATATTTTAAAAAAGAAAAAAAAACATGGCTCAGAAAAAATTTATATGTATGAAAATCAGGACAGAGATGAGTACTGTTACCCTCCAAATGTTAGGATGCCTGGGTCGTTGACTCAGGGTTTTTGAGTTTATTATATTATTTATACTTTCTAGTCTTTGGTTTCTTTGAGTTCTGTCTTATGGTTTATGTCTCTGTCTTCTCTAGTTGCTCTGTCTCCCCTGTCAGCTGTATCCCCTTGTCTAGTTCGCGTCTCTGTGTATCCTTAGTTGCTATATCCCCGTGTCCAGTCAGTGTCTGTGTCTGCCCTGGT